AGCTAGATGCTATATCATACCATGGCCAAGAGAAGCAAAAAGAAGAGTAGTTAAATGCAAAGAGAGAAAGATGCCAGCTGACTTGATTTAAACAACTTGCTCTCATAGGAACTAATTCCTGGGAGCTCTCTCCCTTCCAGAAAGTCTTAATCTATTCATGAGAGATCCATTCCCATGTCCCACACACCTCCCACTAGGCCCCACCTCTCAACACTGCCTCATTGGGTGTCCAGATGCTGCGTATGTTTCAGTGAGACATTCACACCCTATCACTCGCTTATTATTTTACAAAGAATGAGAGTTTCCAGGATGATAAGTTTATGATCAAAAGTCCATTGGTGGAAGACCTTATGTGTCTACCTCATCTGAGACAGTCGAAGCTGAGCTGAGTGATTATGTGATAGCTCAGGTTTGCTTTCCCCCACAATGCAAGGCTTTACTCAGAGTTTACCTCCCTGAAGTAAAGGACTGAACATGAAATTTTCCACTGCCCCATAAATTCTCTGCTTAAAGAACATGTTTTCTGCTTTTGTCTTTTGTTTTTGTTTTTCTTTTTTGCCTAAGTCAATTTTAATCCACAATCATTGACAGAGTCTGGCACACACCCAACAATGTGCTATGGGAGGATATAAAATGCAGGATATAAAGCTTAAGATTCACTTTCTATGGGACCAGCAGTTGGCATAATGGCTATGTTGCTGAATGCCCATGTAGTCTACCGCGGTTCGCATCCCAGACCTGGTGGCTTGAACTCACGCCAGGCGCATGTGAATGCATGCCCAAGATCCCAAGTGGAGAGTGGAGGAGAAGGGATTGCGGCGTGGGCATCCCCCCTGGGGTTGATTTCTCGCTTTCTATCTCTCTATCTCTCTCTGTCTTTGTGGCGAGCACATGCGCTCTATAGCAAAAATCTCTCAAAAAAAAAAAAAAGATTCACTTTCTAGTTGGGTACATACAAGCATACACACACACACACAAACACACACGAAAATGCACATGTGTCAGCATTCACCAAAGACTAAAAGATGTTACCTGAGTAGAATAAAAAAAGGCCCCATGCTTAAGTCATTTTGAGAGCATTGGGTTAAATAAAGTTTAATAACATTTTTAAGTTCTTTGTGGAGTCTTTAAAACGTTGATGAGACTTTTCAAGTTGTGAATCTATGAAGCTAGGATATATAATATATTAGTCAACCTGGGGCCCTTATTAGAAAAAGGTGTAGAACTAATAACCATATGCCAGATTAATAGATACAAAACAGAACTATCCAGGCATCCTGGGGTATACGGCCTCCTCATTCGAGAAGAGAATAAGTAATCTTTCTTTGATAAACTCATGCCATATCATTTTTTTGTTGCTGTAGTTGTCCATCTAAGCTTCCAAAACAGAAAATTTAAGGATCATACTTGTGCAAGAGAAGACAGTGTGGAGTAGTGGAAGGGGCACCGCTGTCACAGCCAGATAGGCTTGGTCTTATAACTCAGTTCTGCCTGATACTAACACTAGAGCACTCATTATCATCGTGTCATTCCCAGGGTTAGTATCATCCAGAAACTTGTTAGAAATGCAGATTCTATGACCATACCATAGACTTATTAAATCAAAAACTCTGGTAAGGTAAAGGCCGGAAGTTTGTAATTAGCAAACCTTCCAGGTTGTTCTGAAACACACTGCCTCAGACAACTTATTCAACCTCTTAGAGCCTTGGTTTATTTATGAGATGGCTCTAATAACCCACCTTGCTTCAAATGTTTGCTATGTATATCAGTCTGAAGGCTCTTGCAGAGTTACAGATGGCACATCAACTGTTAAATTGAAGAGAATGTGATGAAAACACAGATGTGGGCAGGTTTAACAAAGCCTACTCCTGAGGCTAGGGTCAATCATCCACAGTATCTAATATGGGCCAGAAGGAATGGAAGTTGAAGAGATATCCACAATGTGCATTATACATGTATTATAGCACCTACAATTATTTTAGCTTTCCTATATATATTTGCCCTCCTCTCATTGGGCTGTGAGTTCTCTAAGAGCAGAGATCATGCCATCTAAATTTATTTTTCTATCCCTTGCATATAGTAGGTTACCAGTTCATGTTTGGGTAAAGGATCACATAAGTTAAAAAAAAAAAAAAAAAAAAAAATCTCTCTGTCTCTCTCTGTCTGGCGAGCGCATGCGCCCCCATTTCTATTTTGGGGAAAAGAAAACAAAAATTAAAAAAAAAAAAAAAAAAAAAAGATCTGAATTGTTTTGACACATAAGAAAGGAGAGAGCTGACAATGAGTATCAATGCCTCCTGCCATGAACAAGCCCACAGGATTTGTCACCGACCCAGAGCATATTGTTCCAGTTCCTTCCTTAGATTTCTGCCTCTTTTAAAACAAAGGCATAATGCATAAGGCTAAAGATGGAGTCTCAGCAGCACTCCTTTTCTGGATATTGCTATTTCAAGCTTCCTTCTGCTGGGCCCACAGCACCATTGTGATGTATATCTGTCTCAGGAGAAACAAACCCTGTTCTGGGGTTGATTTGTTTGGTAATTGTAGTACCTTAGTTAGGTCAATGAAAAGATGGAAAAGTAAATGGTTTCCCATAACTTACTGGGCAAACTACTCCTCAATTTACCTATGAGTATACACTGAGAGTTAGAGTACTCATTAGTTACTCCAAAGCAACATTGTACTCAAGGGTCTAATTATAATTCAGAAGAATGTGACTATCCTGGTAGATTTAGGCAAAATATTTCAACTGATCTCTCTTATCTCTCTAATTAACACAGGTTGGGTTGTGTTCAATTAAGCAGATTATATTCATACTGTTGGTCCGCCTTGTGACAGAAACCCCTTCAGAGCCTAGATTTGACCCTTTGTGTTCCTCAGTAGCCCACATTATTTTTTCTTCCTTTCTATATAGACATTCACTTCTCTCCCAGAAAGTCTTTCTCTAGTTCAACTTTCAGCTTCTCTATTTAATTAGTAATGACCAGTATATGTTCAGGAAATATTTAGTTCCAGTTCTAGTCCCATTTGAATTACTGTTTGGTTCTGCTATCTGCCTGTCTCTACCCAATTGATACTTATTTTGATTCTGCTGTCCACTGTAGCATACTTAATATATCTCTCTCCAGTGTTTTTATAATTCTGGCTAAATACTTCAATATGATCTTCCAGAATCTACTCCCTATTTGGTTAATTATTACAATTTGTCAAAAATCACATTCCCCATGACCAAAAAGCCTGGTCATTTTCTATTGTCCCCTCTGCCTGCAGTCAAGATTAGCTTCCTGGGAGTATTTACCCAGAGCCTTGAATAGTTCAAGATACCATCCTTAGCCTCTTACTTGCACTTGATAATATTACTAAAGCTGTGAATACTGTCAAATCCAATACCATTTTTTTCTCTCATTATATTAACTTCACAGCAGCATTGCAGAGCCAACCTGTCTGTCCCCCAAAATCTTGTTTTATTCTTCTGTAAATCCAGCTTTCTTCCCAGGTCACTGTCTTTTGCCAGCTCCTTCTCTTGGACTTGATATCTGAATTCTATGGCATCTCAGAGCTCCACTCCTGCCCTCCTCTTCTCCATACATATCCCTTTCTCTCTCCCTAAGACATCATGGAATTGGATTTAGGACTTTAGTGTAGGAACAGTACCATTGATATCAAGATCTAGATAGATTTGGGAAAAGAGTAGATCAAATGTCACCAGATTATACAGAGTAAGAAGTCAAGTGTGGGGAACTAGCAGATGATGTACTGGTTACATCCCACATAGTTGACCATGGTTCAAGTCCTGGACCCAGTGCCTTAAAACTCATGCCAGGTGCATGTGTGTTTGTGCACAAAATCCCAAAAGGAGACTGGCGGAGGAGGAATTGTGGCATGGCTATCCCACTGGGGGATGATTTCTTGCTTTCTGTCTCTCAGATGAGCACATCTGCCCTATAGCAAAAATCTCTCAAAATAAATAAATAAGTAAAATGTGGAAGGTTTGGCCAAAGTTGCCCACACAGGTCTTGTCATCACCTAAAAACATGGCAGGCAGTGGGGTAAAATCCCATGAGCCAAGTTCCAAATTATTTGATTAATTTTGAGGAAAGACTGGAGACATAGTATGAGAGAGCCTAATGGTAAGAACCAAATATGGAGCTGAAATAAACTTGGGACCTGAGGAGTGTAACAATCTTACTATTCAGTTCCTGATACTGTCAGTCACTATGGACTCTTCTCATCCAAACCACTCATCGTAATTTAATTAACATACGTTTATGACGTGATTTTATTCACCTTTCAATAAATATGTCAAAGTATATAGTTTGTGCTGTTCTCTGTCATTGGCCATATTATAAGCTATGGTCTCCAGGAAAGTAGAAACTAGGTCATATATACTTCCATCATTGCCCATCCATGCAACCTGACACAACTAGTAAACTAGCACCTAGCACAGATCTGGACAAGAGAGGCTTAATAAGTATTAATATGCTTGTGGAAATAGTGTTCTCTCTTCCCTCAGAGTGTAAATGCATTTTTTGCTGAGAGTTCACTGTACCTTCTTTTCCCATAAGTAATAGCCAGCCCATCTGGACAGATCCAGTGCAGCCATGGACTCAAACTGGCAAATTGGGACTGAGGGCCAAAGGGCGCTGTCCTCCCCCTTTACTGTGAGTCTAGCTTTGTGTATCCTGGTTCTTAATCATCTTATGGACAAACTAACCTGGGAGGGTATTTGTCTCTAAGCTCAGGAAAGTGTTGCGAACCATTCCATTCTTCTCAGTTTGTGGAAAGGGAGAGGGCATCATCCATGACTAGAACACTGAGGCCTACCAACCTTGACCCAGAACTTCAGCTGATTTTTACAAATTCTAGCAATCCAAGAAATAAATGAAACAGTCTCTACTGCTCAATTCAGTATACATGTTTTCTTTTCTTTTCATTTGGTAAATCATATTGGAAAAAAATTTGAATAATCTCATGCATTTATTCAAAAACATTTGTTGCAGGACCAGCATATGGCATAATGGTTACATCGCTGGACTCCCACATTGTCAACCACAGTTCGAGTCCTGGACCCAGTGACTTGACATTCATACCAGGTGTGTGTATGTGTATGTGTGTGCGTGTGTGTGTGTGTGTTCCTAAAATCCCTAGAGGACGATGGAGGAGAAAGGATTACTGCATGGCCATTCCCCCTGGAGGGTGATTTCTCACTTTGTATCTTTCTGTCTCTGTCTCTCCAGTGAGAACATGCACCCTATAGCAAAAAGAAAATAATAATAATTTTTGCATTGCTAATACCTGCTACACATTATGCTAGTTAGACAACAGAGATTAAGAAAATACATAACCTTCAAATAAGGAGTTTATAATTCAAACGTGTGTGTGTGTGTGTGTATGTACATGTGTGTGTTTGTGAAGGAAACTGAAGCTAGCAGCCTGTAACAGAGAAGCAAACAATAGATTTGGTAAACCCATATGAATTTTCAGGACTACAAAGGAATAGAACCTATCTCAGAGTGGAGTGTGCTAAAAGGTTCCCACAGGACCTGACCCTGGCTGTGTACTAGAATGAATAGGTGGTAACCAGCAGAATCTGGGGTTCTAGATAGAGCCTGTGCTAAGGCGCAGGGGTGAGAGAGTATGGTGTATTCTGGGAACTACCTCAATATCACATATTTTTTTATTTCCGCTTGCATCCGAGTGTTCTGGACATGAACATTATCTGAGTTAGCTTCCTGGGTTTTGATTTACAACTTTCTAAGATGGCTAGTAGTGTGATTTCAGTTTAAGAGTCAGAAGTAGAAAAGATCATTGAAAAAACAATTTAGAAGCAATGGAGTTTTTGAAGATTCTGCAATTCATCAGGACTCATGTAGAGTTCTAGTAGAGAAAACAGAAAGAATCCACTTTTCTTTCTTCTTCTTTCAGCCTAGGTAAAGAAGATGGGAAATTAAATAGTACTTACATTAGTCAGGGTTCTCCAGAGAAATAGAACCAGTAGAGTGTGTGTGTGGAAGAAATCTCACAATACGCTCTTTGCAACTGGAGAAGCAAATGTGTGGTACCATTCAGTCCACGTTTGAAGGACTGAGAACTAGAAGAGTCAACGATGCAGTCTCAGACCATAGGCTTGGGAACGAAGTGAGTGGGTGGTACTGTTATGAGCGGAGTTGAACAACTCAGGAAACAGAACTCTGAATGTGTGAGGGCAGGAGTAGATGTCTAGGTCAAGGAATGAAAGAGACATGTACCCTTTCTCCAGCTTTTTGTTCTGTTTAGGGCCTCAAGAGATTGGATGATGTTGCCAGAGTTGGTAGAGGCAGATTTTCTACTGATTCAAATGCTAATCTTTTTCAGAAACACCCTCATAGACATATCCAGAAAATAATATTTTACTAAGTCCTTGGGCATCCCTTAGCCCAGTCATTAACCACCACAACACTTGTTTATCCTGTTGATTCATTTGGTCTGTATTTGACAGACTTAAGAGGTAAAGCCACAGCAGCAGCTCTCTTAGGCATTAACACACTTGTGCAATTTAACAAGCATGTACTACAGGCCTTCTTTGTACCAGACATGATTCTAAGCATTGTAGATACAAAAATAAAGAAGGAATGTTTTGAACCCTCTCATAAGGATGAGTCACCTTTTTAATACAGTTACCCCCAAAATCAAGATCATTGAAGACAGCTGCCCAAGACTATAGGCTGGGAAGACATTAGCAGCCACTTGATCCAAGTTTTATCAGGAGTAGGGCACTTCCTGGAAACTCTGGGCTCTGAAGCTTTATGATTAACATAAGATCAAGTTCACCTAGTAATTGTTGTATACCCAAGGAAGTGAATGAAATAGTCCTAAAATTCTCTGACATTCCTGTACTTCTGTAGTTGCCTGTTACATTGTTTCCCCTATCACTTGGAATTTTGGATGCCAGCTTTCTTAGTCAAAGTGACATAAACAAATCTCTTTTCCACCCCCACCACTCACCCAGCACTTTTTGTGCATTTTGAATTTATGGCTGCATTTCTATTAGTTCCCAACAGTATTCACTAGATTAAAGCTGCATCAGAAATTGGATTTTTTTCTACTTTTGCCCCTGAAGAGTCTAATAAAAACATAACCCAATAAATCTGGCAAATTAGCAATAAGATCTCAAACTTTGGGGCATATGTGCAACTATGCTGTTGAGGAAGAAATGTAAAACTCTTGACAGCTGAACCAATCAGATTACATATTACTACTTATAAGCAGAAAGAATGAAAGACAATTCTTCCATCTAAATTGAACCAAGTTCACCACAAGGAAAAAGAAGTCTCAGAGGTAGAGAATATTATTTTATTTCCTATGTAGTTACCATAACCTTATGTAAAATAAAACAGCTTGAAAAGTCATTTTAAAATTTTTTTCACTCAAAAGTTGAGATCTTGGACAAATTTGGTTTTAGGGCTATGTTCCATCATAAACTTATTGGCTGAAATATTGGGCTAAGATTGAACAAAATACCTTATTCTGATTTTGGTCCCTTGATTGTAATGAAAAATATTTCTAATTCGTAAATAGTCCCTTAAAAAAGGAAAGTTAGGATCTGACTCATTTAAAAGCTAGTGAGTATTCAAATGACTGAAATCCATAAGGCAGCTTCTAGTTTGGGGGGCTGTAATTTAGTAAGTTATAAGTAATCAACATCCCTGTCTTTTTTTTTTTTTCTTGGAGAGATTTTTGCTATAGGGTGCATCCGCTCACCAGACAGAGAGAGACAGAGAGACAGAAAGCGAAAAATCACCCCCCAGAGGGGATGGCCATGCCGCAATCCCTTCTCCTCCATTCTCCTCTCAGGATCTTGGGCATGCACACACACACACCCGGCGTGAGTTTAAGCCACCGAACCACAGTCATCTGCATGGGAATTCAGCAACATAGCCATTACGCTAACTGCTGGTCTCTCAACCTCCCTGTCTTCATCATCCATCTCTCCCTAAAATATTTCCCTTTCCTTACAAGGGATTTCAGTCTGTGTCTAAAGTAGCCATTATAGACTTAAAAATCAAAGCAAAACAAATGAAACTAAACACTTTGCTCCATAAACCATCTACATATATTTTTTAAAAATACAGAATTGAAATATAAATGCCTTGTGGCTTTTTTTAGATCCTCACCCTTGCACTCAGACTTCATTCAGAAGGTTCCAGGCTCTTGGCTGCTCATTCAGTGGTAAAAGACATAGTCCTTGCTCTGAAGAGGTCACAGACAGATCTTCCCTTTGTAGGCAGATCTGTGGAGGAAGAAACTTTGTAGACACTCTACTGCCTACCTACAATATGCAATATGCACCTTTATCTTATTTTCTTTTATCTCAAGCCTACATTTTCATAAAAGCTCTATGACAGTCCTACCACTTTTAAAAAACATTTTCTGAGCTCACTTTCTTTCCCTGCTGTGAGCAATCTAATCTGTTTTGCCCTTTCAGCATGTCATGGTTCCTACTCTAAATTGTGACATGAATTGTATTATTATTATTATCATTATTTGACATTTAAAATTTCTTGTGATTGGTTTATTTTTCCAAATGATATTTTTCATGGCAAAGACATCGTGATCTATGCTTTTTGGAATTTTTCACCTAACTTAGATGGTGTACTATGTCTAGCAGATGCTCAATGACAATTTTTTAAAGGAAGGAAGGTCAGTAATAAGGAAGGGAGGAAGGTTGAAAGCTTCCTATATATTAGGTTGTCGGGAAACTCATGAACTCATGACATATTTTTCTATGCAAAAATGCATTATGACTTTCCAGACAACCAATAGTAATCAAGTACTATTAGTAAGTCTCACAAAAGGCTATAGAACTAATGAGAATCACGATGGATGCCGGGTAAGTAAAGAATGTTGAGGTAGCTTTGAACTTGCTTCATAAACCAGAAAAGTGAGTTTAGTGGACCAACCCCATAGCCTAATGGTTAAGAGAGCTAGATTCTTCAAGGTTGACTGGGGTTCAAATCCCAGCCCTGATTGCTTGGATTTTTGCTGGCCTGTGTGGATATGTGCTCAATAATCTTGATAAGACGGAGAAATGAAGAAGGACTTGGGGTGTGACCATGGCTCAGTGGGCCTTCAGGAGGTGATTTTTCCTTTGCCTCTTTCTCACTTAGTGAGTGTATATAATCTCTGGCAATTAAAAAAAAAGGGGGGTGGGGTAGATTTAGTGGCCTGCATGATGATAGAACTTTTTATTGTTTACATTTGTGTGTGTGTGTGTGTGTGTGTGTGTGTATGAGAGAGAGAAAAAAAGAAAGAGAGAAAGGTATGAATAAAACAGACATACTGAAAATATAATCCATAAAGCCTGGATCTTAGATATTCAGTCACTGTAGTGTTACTAGGTTTTTGTTTTTCATAATTTTAGAATCACATATTTTTCTTACTCACTCATCCTCTTTTTCCTCCTTTCCTAAGGCCTGCTATTTCTGAGCCGAATAGTATATGCTACTATGAATGATTGGCATCAGAAAATGTCAGTTGTCAGCAAATTGATACTAGTTGGAGTAAGTGCATATGGGTGTCTGGCCCAGAATCCCAGCTCCACTGGTGAGAGGGGATCTTGGAAGTTATAGAGACAGCTGTCCTTCACAATAAATGTTAGGAAACATAATTTGTATCCCTTCCAAGTAGTATGCCCTAAGCAAGAAAAAAGGTTGACAGAAATGAATTAGCAATTCAGCTGTTATTTGGGTAATCTGGTCAATATATACAGTTAAGCAAGATTACTAAACTGCTGGTGGACTTCGACGTTTAGGATAGAACTCAGGCTAAATGGGCACTGAGAAACCACTTCCCCAATTCATTTTTGGGCTTCAAAATTTTAGAGCAAGAGACAGTAGAATAGAACTAGTGTGTCTTTGACTATGGGAGAACAATATGCTGTACACTTTTTTGAGAATGTGGGATAGGGAGGCAGTGTATATGGAAGAGAAGGTGAACAAAAAAATAAAATTGGTTGGAAATTTATGAGAAGGTTTCAAAAAGGTAAATGGTTGAAAATCAATGTTTCCCAAGCTTTAGAGAAATTGGTACTCTCAACTTCTAAACATTCAACTTACAAGTATCACAAACATAAAAAGAATTGCCTGAACAGTTATGAAAATTTTAAACTTCTGGGCAATTGCAAATGGCAAGATGTAGAATTTTCTGCATAATGGGGTATCCAGCAAAGAGTGACTGAGCCAATCATTTTTCCGTAGCTAAAAATATTTTCCACTTTAAAAGCTATAAGTCATTTCTGCTTCAGGGTTTACCCTTTAAGTAGGGAGTCTCCTTGTTCTGGAAGGGAATACTTTGCAAGACCCATTTGATTACACATATGTAAAGAAAGAATTAACCATATTTCTTAGAGGCAGCTTCAGCACACTTTCTGGATCAGAGGATTTTTGCTGGGTTTGAATATTAACATGTAGAGAGCCCTGGAGATTTTTAGTAATTGGTGGAAAATGGGGATAATGTCAGCTGACTCCTGTCACATAGTGACTGGCAGGGAGCTAGGCAAGGATCTTGCCTGACAAAGGACACTAGAGTCTGATGTGGGTGCATTGTCTCCAGTTGCCTCCTTTGCAATAATTGGAGGACCTGCTTTATACTTCAGAAGTAACTCGGAAGAAAGCAGTGCCCTCCCAGAGGTCAGATGGAAATGTCAGCAATGCTTGCCAGTATCTCCAGAGAGTCACTGGTCTGGAGATCATGGTGCAGAAGGAGCAGACGAAACTAAAGGAAGGTAAACTCAAAAAGGCAAGAAGCTACAGATAACAACTCAAATGGCAGCCAGGAGCCAGAAGCCAGCTGAGGTAAGAAAAGATCTTTTGGGCTGATTAGTGGTGGATGTAAAAGTACAGACTAGGGAAGAAAAAATCTGTAAAAAGCCTAAACTACTTGAACTTAAATGAGATGAGAGCTGTCCATGGCAACTTGTACATCAATGAAATTACAGCATTATTTTATAGAATTGCACTATTCAGGCCTGGGACATGTGAGTTATTAATGTATCTATAATTAAGGTATTGATCCTAATATAAGAATATTCTAATTTTTATCCAAATAAGAATGTGATATGCACTTATATAGAATACAATTTTTAAAAATGAAATAAGCACATAAAAAATAAGGATAAAGACATTTCCCTAGTCACAGAGATGAAGGTTTTATCAATATTCTGTTAAGAAAGGAATATTAGCACTGGAATACAGTGTACAATAACGTAGCTTGTTATATTATAATTATGCTTAAGTTATTTAGTTAATGAGATATAATTCACCCCACCTGCAGAATCCTTGAAAGAATGCTCGTTGATTAACTTATAGTGGTTATGCTAAACTGGTGAACGCCTAAGACACCTAGGAAACGAACACAAAAAATAACTAGTCAAAGGTCTAGCTTTCCTCTTTTCATAGTAGATAGTCCTGAAGAATGTATGATTTGGCACAATGGAGAAGTGTTACATAATGACTTATTATTTTTGCCGCATAATTCACTGGTCTGAATGTAGCTCCCAAATTCATAAGTGAACTTCAATCCCCATTGTAATAGTATTAAAAGTGGGGGGGTGGCCTTTAGAAGAGATTCAGTCCTAAGAGCAAAGCCCTCATGGATGGGAGTAAGGACCTTATAAAAGGGCTTAAGGGGACCAGCAGTTAGTGTAATGGCTATGTCGCTGGACTCCCACGTAGTCGACCGCAGTCAGAGTCCCGGACCCAGCGGCTTAAACTCACGCCGGGTGTGTGTGCATGCATGCCCAAGATCCCAAGAGGAGAATGGAGGAGAAGGGATTGCAGCATGGCCATCCCCTCTGGGGGGTGATTTCTCGCTTTCTATCTCTCTGTCTCTCTCTGTCTGTCTGGCAAGTGCACGCGCCCTATAGCAAAAATCTCTCCAAAAAAAGAGAAAAAAGGGGGGCTTAAGGAAGAGTGGTTTGGCTCTTTTTCACTCTTCTACCATGTGCAGACACAGCTGTCATCCCCTTTTTGCCCTTCTAACCCTTCTATCATGTGAAGACACTTAAAGAGTGCCGTCTCTGAGGCACTAAACTTGTTGGTGCCCATCTTGTACTGCCCAGCCTTCAGAACTGTGAGAGAATAAACTTCTGTTCTTTATAAATTACCCAGAGTTAGGTATTTTCTTAGAATGGCACAAATGAACTAAGACACATACCAGTGCATTGGGGGCTCAGTCACCACATTCCCAACTAAAAGGCCAAGTAGAAGAGTAGCAATCTGAAAGACCCAAGACAAACAAGGTACCTATATTACATATCTCTCCTTGGCTATCATTGGATACTTTTCCCTTGTATCACTTATAATTTTTGCATTAACATTGACTTTTAGAAGTAGGGAAATTTTGAACCATCTCCTGACTTTGAGAACTGGATTACCAAAGGGCTAGATACCCTGAAGGCATCTTTTGGAAAGGAACTTAAAATAAAATCAAGAAAATTTCACAAGTCCAGATAGTTAGCTCTGGCCAAGGGCAGCATGGTATAAGATTTGGAATCAAACGTCAAGGTTTGGGTCTGTTGCCCAGTGTATGCACATGACCTTGGGGAAACAATTTCACCTCTCTAAATCTATACTTCTCCAAATTTAAACTGAAAATGTCTATGATAACCAGAACTCAGGTTTATTCTAAATATTAAGTGGAATCATGTATTTGGAAAGCACACTGTAAACCATATTTACTATTCATAACAAATTATAATTGTGAACTGGCCTGATTTGAACAGTTAAAACTGGACACCAAAATAAAGCACTCTGCCTTTTCAAGTATAGATGAGCCAAGAGTGGTAAAATACCTTGTTAGAAGAAATGATATTGAGTAGTATGTAGAAGACAGAGTCTGAAAATACGCCTTTATGTAAAAATGCCCACATCTGAGCTAAGGATGGTGTGCAAAGTCTCCCAGTACAATCCAATGCAATTGTCGCTGCACAACTAGGCACTGCTCAGTACTTTGGGGTGTTCCTGAACCATCCTGTCAAGGGTCAGAAACATTGGATAGGTGAAGAATTAAGCTCTTGGGAAATCTATTCAACAAAATATAAGTTTGAAAATAAGGAGAGAAAAAAGTCATATAAAAACGCTTTCTAGGCGATGGAGGGCATAAGCTGTGGAGGTGAGATATTGTATTTTGCTATACGCTGTCTGTAAAGCAATCTCTTCTCTTAGAAAATGATGTTTCTATTGGACTCTGAGCTATTTGTCATTCTGGGCCCTAAACAAAATAGTTTTTAAAAGAATATCAGAAATACTGTGCTGGATCAAACCAATGGTCTCTCTAGTCTAATGTTTTGACTTTGAAAGTGGTACCAAGAGAGGTTCATGAGAGGACTCTGATGTTCTGCTTATGTGACTTTAAAGCATTTGTGACTGTAGCTCACAGTGAGAAATAGAGTTTGCATTGTAATGTAGTACTCACACTCAATACACATGCACAAAAAGATACTTTATTTTTTTTGTATTCTATTCTATTTCCTTTTTTTTTTTTTTTTTCACTAACTACCAGCCCCAACCCACTAAACTTACTTGGTAATCTACTAAGATCACAACTTTCAGCTTGAAAAACTTGCTGTATTTGCTGTTAGCCTCAAAGGCTAGGGATATAGCTCTGATGTGACTACGCTTCTTTAGCACAGTAAGACTCTATTGCCTATGAATTTGCCTAAAACCACCTTGTGGGGAAATGGGTTTTGCAAGGGTAAATATTCAAAATATGAAGCGGAGCTCTTACTTATGACTCTGTAGTATTTTAGATAAGATAAGTGTGATTTAAATACCTAGGTGAAGAACATTAAGCTTGGGTTCCTCTCTCTTCCTCAGAGATTCCATCGCTGTAGCAGAGAGGCTACAAAGAGATTATCAGGATTATACCTTATCATGGTGAAGACACAGCATTTCAGGAGGGTTAATTGACTTTTACAATAAGCACCTTTAAGCACTGATTTATCAAATATGTATTGTATCATAGTTATATTTTTGAAAAATGGCTGTAACATCATTTTGTGCCCTTCAGGCTTTTCTACAAAATGATATTGCCGCATGGCATTATGAGGTGGGATCTATTTCTCTCTCCTGTTGAATCTGGGTAGACTCTGTCACTGCTTTGACCAATACATGAAGAGGAAGTGACCAGTGCCAGTTCCAGAGATCACCCTTACCTGACCAAGCAGCAGCCCTTCCCTACCTCTGGGAGGTCAGCCACCAAGTAAGGAGTACGATTGCTCAGAGACCATCCTGAGAGCAGTCCAAGCTATGTTAAGAGGCCCTGGAGAAAGAGATGTCACATGGAGACATAGAGGGAGAGAAGCCAAGGAGCACCAAAATGCCCATGTGCAAAGCAACTAACTCAGAGGAGAATCTATATTCCTGACTATAGAGACGAACTGCGCAAATTCTTCCAGAATTCCTGACCCACAACATTTTTAATGAAATAATAAATTTTTATTTAAAACTTCTAGGTTTTAAGGTGGCTTGTTATACAGAAATAGATATCATGTAAATCTGAAGGGTTTTGTTTTGTTTTGTTTTGTTTTCAAGAGAGAGTTTTGCTGTAGGATGCAGGTGCTTACCAGAGAGACAGAGAGAGAAAAACTGAGAAATCACACACACACACACACACCCAGATGTATGGCCACATCCTCCTCTCAGGATCTCGGGCACACATGAACACACAACCCACGTGAGTTTCAAGCCTCAGGATCCAGGACTTGAATCACCGTTGGCTATGTGGGAGTCCAGCGATGTAACCATTATGCAATCTACTGGTCCCAATCTGAAGTTCTATAGATTAATAAAAATATTGGTCTTCGTGATTTACTTTTGAATTTAAAATTTTATTTTAAATTTTATTTTTAAATTAATAAAATATGGATAATATAATTTTATAAGTTACAATTATATCATTTTTAATGCAGTTCCCTTTTCACTAATAATTGTATTTCATTAATGTCTATTATTTCCTTTGTGGGTGCTTAGGATGTGTTATGTACTTTGCTGGGCACTAGGGAATATAAGAGGTAATGAGATGCCATCTTTGACCTTCAATCAATCAGTTTATTATAGAAGAGATAATAAAGGGGTGATTTTATTACATCGGCATCAAGAAAGCTATTCAAGAAGACTCCACACAGGTGACTTTTAAGTGTGAGCTTTATGGAAGAGTAGATAAAGAAGAGAAGTTGGAGAGGAGAATGAATGATGCAGAGAGCAAAATAATAGCATTTCAAGCAGAGAAGACAGAATATTCAAAGGCAAGAAGAAATGAAGGTGTGGTGGGCTGGATGTAGTTCTAGGGATGAACGATCAGTCGAATAGGGAGGAACGAAGCTTAGCATGGCTGAGGTCATACTATGAAAGGCTTTGGATAAGATGCTGAGAAATCGGGATTTGAGCCAGCAAATGACCAAAAAAACAACATAATATTTTTGAGTAAAGATATGTCCTGAACACTTTCATGATGGAGCAAAATTCCAGCAGAGAAATACACATTAATGTACTTATACAATGCAAGCATGAGCCAAGGGTCCCTCCTCTGAACTAATGTGCAATGAGTAAAAGTAAAAGGAAATTGCATCCTTTAATTGTTTCTCTTACCAAGTTGGAGGGAGAACGGCCACTTCCTAGGATCATCATTGACCTATTAGTGTCATGTAACAGAAACAGACTTTCTAAGAGTGAGAGAAAGAAAACAGTTAACCGCAATTCCTGCAACTCAGAGTAGGGACAGTTTGCACTGGGGATATATATTTCGAACACTGGGATATTACACTTTATCCTCATATCTAAGACCATATTTCTAT